AGAATGTGGTGTCTTACAGATGTTACTATCACTGCTGTAGATTATGCATCTACTAATGTGCCTCTTGATCATGCTATTTTGTTCCAGGAAGAGAAGGCTATTGAGAGAGGAATTCTTCCATTGCTACAGCGTGCAACCTTGGTGCAAACATTTGGTCAAAAGAATCATGTGTGCTTGAAGGAAGGTTCAATCACCATTCCTCCCTATGCTCCTCCGCAGAAAATGCAGACGCATCTAATTTCTGAAAAGATCCCTAGGTCCATTTTTGTTTACTTTCGAGGACTGTTCTATGATGTTGGAAATGACCCTGAAGGGGGCTACTATGCGAGGTAGGTCTCATCACAACTTTCAGTATGTACACAAGTTTTCTTCACTCGTCAAACTAATTGTTTATTGCAAATCTACACAGAGGTGCAAGAGCAGCAGTTTGGGAGAACTTCAAGGACAATCCACTTTTTGACATTTCCACCGAGCATCCAACCACATACTACGAGGACATGCAGCGAGCCGTGTTTTGTTTGTGCCCACTTGGCTGGGCCCCTTGGAGTCCAAGACTGGTTGAAGCCGTCATATTCGGTTGCATCCCTGTTATCATTGCAGATGATATTGTTCTACCATTTGCTGATGCAATCCCATGGGAAGAGATTGGAGTGTTTGTTGATGAGGAGGATGTTCCCAAGTTGGATACCATACTCACATCTATACCCCCAGAAGTAATACTAAGAAAGCAGAGATTGCTTGCTAACCCTTCCATGAAACAAGCCATGTTATTCCCTCAACCTGCTCAAGCAGGCGATGCATTCCATCAGATTCTGAATGGGCTTGCTCGTAAGCTGCCACATGACAAGAGTGTATACTTGAAACCTGGCGAGAAGATCCTGAATTGGACTGCTGGTCCTGTCGGTGACTTGAAACCTTGGTAACAAATTATGACAGTTTTCTTCACATAGCCATTTGTGATTCTTCACATATGTCTTGGTCAATACTCCAAATGTTCATACGGTTGGGTTGTAATTGAGAAGCCAGTTTTTCTTTGATACTGTAAATTTTGGCATTTTCTCGGACAGTATATGAAATCATAAAATCTTTATTTTGGAGCTCTGTTTCTCCATATTTGTTTGTCACACAGGCTGCATTTATTTGTAAGTGTTATTTGTTACAGAAATTCCTAGTTTCACTTGGTGAAAACTAGTTTCGTCTGGAGTTCAATGGGAGACTCTAGCACTTGACGCATTCACAAAAAAAAAGGTTTTTTGAGTTTATTATACCACTTCTTGTCCTTAATATAAAAGCGAGTTGATTAATTTGAGTAGATTAAGGAAACTAGTTATTTGTAACAAATAGGTATTGTCTTTCTTAAAATATTCTTACTAATCAAGTGTATTGATTAGAACTACTATTCTTACAAGGGTTATTTGAGGAAAAAAAATGGATAAATATGAGAGGTGGATTAGGGCATTATATTTAGGATCAAAATAAAAATCAAATGAGTTTTTATATTAAGAATCAGAGTAGTATGATCGATTGGTACTTTATGTGGATCCTAATTTTTTTCACCATTTCTAATCTTTTACTGGTATTTTTGTTCACCTAAATATTGTTTTCAAGCAATATGTATTTAGGTAATACCACCGTAGTACCTATTTTATTTTCTTTTAAAAAAAGTCACTTCTATTAATAATAAAATGATTAAAATACAAATGATCCAAGTATTATAGTCCAAGACGAAAAGATGAAAGTAATAAAAATGCAGTCACTGTGCAAAAAAAAATGAAGGTTAAAATATATAAAATCTTCTTAAAAAAATTAAAATTGAGAGCTTGAAATTTCATATTTCGATGATACTAAAAATATCTATTCACAGGGCATTGCTATCCAACATGGGAGACTTTCCTTTCTTAGAGGATGTTTCATGGGCCCTAACAAACAACTTAACTTACCTCATAACTCTCCCTTCTCATTTTTCTTGCCCCATCTTTCCACCCAATTAATCACACCAACAACCAACGATTGGATCTAATAGAAAAGCTAGTCCCTCACAATATTAAAAATAAAAGTTCAAATCCTTGTTAAGAAAACTCATATTTAATATCTGACAATGTCTTAGACAAGATTGTTTCTAATAGGATGATACTGCTTGTGCTTAGAATAAAAAAATAATCACACCAACAAAGAATATTTTAATTTTGTATTTGCATACATGGAACCATTAAAATTTGAAGGAAGCATCCATCTTAATAAAATAACAAAATACTGTATTAAAAAGGACATTTATTTATATAATAAATATTAAATAAATTGTGAGAAAATGATTATTTAGTGATTGTGCCTTGAAAAAACACGTGTTATGTGCATCTTAATTTTAATAATTCGTTTCCCTTCCTGCACATGAACATGGAAGGAAGATATGATATTATTAGCATAAGACTGACTAATTCCACACAACCAGATGCAACCTCATGAATCAAACCAAACTGAATGTAGAATTCGAGTTTTTTTTTTTAAATTAAACTGAAAATTTTTAAGTGTAATTCAATTCAGTTAAGTTAATGATATTAAAAAAATAAGCTTACAACATGTACGATTGTACGCATGACATAAAGACGCCAATTTTGAGTGAGTCTCTATGATTCCAAGTATTGCTTTCCCATGTTGATATTATTGGACATATTTAACGAACAAGCAAAATAAGGTCTTAATTAATTCAGTTTCACACGGAAAATTGAGTAATCTTATCTCAATCCATACGTTACGTATTCACATGGTAGCGCATACGTATTCGCATGCTCATACCGTCATACGTAACGTATGCTTAAATCCTCCCTTCATATAACAATAACCACGTTTTTAATGCAAAGCCAATTACATCGTATCATATATAATGTCATTTGAGTTAGTTGGATGATTGAATTTGATTTAAATACTACTTCTTATTCTTAATATAAGAATTAGTTGACTAATTTGAGAAGATGAAAGAAATAAATTAAGTTAGTTATTTGTAATAAATATGTATTGTCTTTTCTTAAAACATCCTTGCTAATTAAATTTATTTGCTAGAACTGCTATCGTTAGATGGACTACATTAGAAAAAATACATAAATAAGAGATAAAATGGATTGGGATTTTATAATTAGAACTAAAATAAAAGTCAAACGAGGTATTATATTGAGAATCGAAGGTAGTATAATTTTTTTTGTGAAAGACCAAATTTAAGTGTAGTTTGGATTTGCTTATGCTTTACATAAACTGAAATAAAAGTCTTATTATATGCTTATCTTGTATTCCGTAAATCATAATTAGAAAATTATTTATAAATCATTTCAAATAAACCTTGTGTTCTGGGACACCATCTGCTTAAAAAAGCTTGGGTACCTTAGGACTCCTTGTCTCATGCAGTTATTAAATTTTGGTATCTATGTTGACGTAACCTCAGTTAGCCACATCGTTGATTAAAGTTTGTTAATTTAATTTAAAGGAATTCCTCACGTTGATTCTCGGGTTAGGATGTTATTGGCCGAAAAGTCCCCAGTCGGGGCAAGGTTTTCAATTTTAAAATAGGGTTAAGGTGCAATTTTAACAAAAAAATTTACCGTAAGGAGCACTAGGCACCATAAAGTTTATTTGAGTGCAAAAATATACATGAAGTTGTCAAAAGGGAGCATCTGGCACCATGCCGTTAACCTCCATCAGTTTACCGTTAGAGGGGCCCAGAAAGTCAGTTTTAAGGTATATTTTTAACAACAAAGTTTGCATCAAGGGGCATTAGGCACCATGAAATTTACTTGGGTGTAAAAATATAAATGAACTTTGTAAAAGGAAAAAAATAACAAAATTCTTCAACTTCCATAAACATCCATTAATTTTATTCTTTTCAGTCTCACCAAATGCTATATTTTCTCTCTATAAATTTCCACTTTCAAGCCGATCCATCTTTCTCTCATCATAGTCAACACACACCCACACACTCTCTATCATGTCGTTTTCTGAGCCTCTAAGCCTTTTATATGTATTTAAATAAAACACATCTTTCCCTTCTAGGATATGAGGTTTATTGCTTGCATCCAAGTACTACCTCCAGTTCTTAATATAGGATGCAATGGACTAATTTGAGGAGATTAAAAATAAATAAATAAATTACTTTAAAATATTATATTTATTGTTTTTTCTCCAAATTAATTTTCTTGGCTTGTAAACTAATATATAATTTAATGATGCATATAAATATTTTAGAAAGATCATGTACTATATGCTATTGCGTCAAATAAATAAATAATATAATATTTAATGTAACTTATTTATTTATTTTAATATCCTCAAATTAGTCCATTGTATCCTATATTAAGGACTGGAGGTAGTACTCGGGTGCAAGTAATGAACCTCATATCCTAGAAGGGAAAAATGTGTTTTGCTTAAATACATATAAAAGGCTTGGAGGCTTAGAAAACGACATGACAGAGAGTGTGTGGGTGTGTGTTGACTATGATGAGAGAAAGATGGATCGGTTTGGAAGTGGATATTTATAGAGAGAAAATATAGCATTTGGTGAGATCGAAAAGAATAAAATTAATGGATGTTTATGGAAGTTGAAGAATTTTGTTATTTTTTTCCTTTTACAAAGTTCATTTATATTTTTACACCCAAGTAAATTTCATGGTGCCTAATGCCCCTTGATGCAAACTTTGTTGTTAAAAATGCACCTTAAAACTGACTTTCTGGGTCCCTCTAATGATAAACTGACGGAGGTTAACGGCATGGTGCTAGATACTCCCTTTTGACAACTTCATGTATATTTTTACACCCAAATAAACTTTATAGTGCCCAGTACTCCTTACTGTAAACTTTTTTGTTAAAATTGCAACTTAACCCTTTAAAATAACTCCGTGATCATAGTTTAATTTTAACAGATTTGACTTAGGCTGCTTGTCTATTTATCTTTATTATTTTATTACCTGACAATGATGAGGCGCTATATCCCGTTGGATTGGGGTGGAGTTATATTTGTTTATCCTGCTCTCTCGTCCCATGCGTTGCTGATTGGAGAGCACCTTCCTTATTAGATTTCTCCTCCTCGACTTCTCCAGAAACTTCGCGCTTGTAAGAATCTTTCACCATTGCAATGGCTTTCACTGTTAGATTCAATGTCTCCCCTTATTCAAGTTCGGGTGGTCAGCGAAGTTGGGTGAACACTAGACCCTTTAAGTTAGTTCTTTGATTTTCTTCGCCTCGCTCCAAATCTTTCTGGAAATTCGCGTTTTCAAATTTTTTCTTTTCTCTGTTCTCGTTCGTGTTTTGTGCTGTTTCACAATCGCAGTTTTAAGTGTTGGGGGGTAAAAATGGATGGTAAAAATGGGGCCAGCGCCAAGAGAACGATTTTGCATGATCTCTACGAGAAGCAAAAGCAGAGCCCGTATTATGATAATCTTTGCCGTCCCGTTACAGATTTGCTTCCATGGATTGCAAGAGGAGTCAGAGGTGTCACCAGCAATCCTGCGGTAATTAGTGTTGTCACTTCATTAAGTGCTATCTTTATCTGAGAATGTATTGTTTTTGTCCAATTTCTGTGTGACAAAGTAGGATTTTTATTATAGTTTGGTGCTCAAATATGCAGATTTTCGACAAAGCCATATCGTCATCCAATGCTTACAACGACCAATTGAGGTAATTTCTTTCGTACTTGTACCATTGCAAGAATTGCTATCAGGGTAAGGCAAAATTGCATGTGCAAGAAGGTGCTAAAAAGTGCCAAATAGAGTAATTAGTTATAAAGTCAGGTCGAAATTGCGGTCTATGGCTTAATGGGTTTATGGATAGCCTAACACTAACTATAACGTTATTGGGACTATTTTGACTCCCGTATAAGGGGGAGAGACCCAAAAGTTTAACAATGGAGTTTGATTTTAGGATAATATAAGGGTGTTTAGAACTTTGAATAAGGGACTCATTTGTTTGAATACTATTTCTCTTGGTCCTACATCAATTAAGAGATTGAGAAAATAGATGAGTGGTTGGTTTTTAAGCATATGATTGGCATAGCTGTGACAAGAGTTTTGGAAAATTGTGACTTGTTAATAGTGTTTTATAATTTTTTCATTCATAATTGTATCCATATTTGGCAAATTTTTCTTCTTCACCTTTGTATAAAGAGAGGTTTGCAATTTTCTTGCTAAAAAAATCATAGGAATCGTAAACTTATATGGGGTAAAGAAAATTCAAGTCTATTTGAGGAGTCAATTAATCAAATCACGTTAAATATTCATGCTGTATTCTCTTTTCTCTGTCTTGTGTATTTCTGCTTAGTAGTATTATTTATTTGATTTGTGTTCAAAAAGGGAACTAGTTAAGTCAGGGAAAGATGTAGAAAATGCCTACTGGAATTGGTTTGTGAAGGACATACAAGATACCTGCAAGCTCTTGGAGCCTATCTACGATGAACAAGAAGGGGAAGATGGGTACGTGTCTGTTGAAGTCTCGCCCAAGCTTGCTGATGATACAAAAGGAACAATTGAGCAGGCAAAATGGCTCCATAAAAAGGTTGGATGCCCTAATGTGTATATAAAGATTCCAGCAACTGAAGAATCCCTTCCTTCCATAAAGGAGGTCATTTCTCAGGGGATAAGTGTAAATGTCACTGTAAGTGTTCATGTGCATTGTCCTGTAATGAAACTTTGATCCTCTCTAGCTACAAAAATGACTGTGGTCTGTGTTTGAACAGCTCATATTCTGTCTCTCTAGATACGAAGCAGTGATTGATGCTTACTTAGATGGGCTTGAAGCTTCTTCCATGACTGATCTTTCCATGGTTCAAAGTGCGGCAGCTTTCTACATCAGTAGAGTAGATACTGTAATTGACAAGAAACTTACAGAGATTGGTACTGATGAGGCTCTACGCCTGAGAGGGAAGGTATGGAGCACCTATCAAATTAGTGGAAGGAAATCCAAGTGTTTGTCCTCTTTAATATTGGCTTCTTTTTCCCTGACAAGTTTTAAAAATTGTTTAGGCCGCAGTAGCTCAAGCAGTTTTAGCTTACCAGATTTACCTGAAGAAGTTTTCTGGTCCAAGATGGGCGCGTCTGGAGAAGAGAGGTGCCAAAAAGCAGAGGCTGATGTGGGCCTCGACAAATGTGAAAAATCCTACTTACCCCGACACCTTATATGTTGCTTCTCTTATTGGACCAGATACGGTGAGCTATCTCACTTGCTTTTCTACTGCCTCCATTGACGAATTTCTAAAGTATGCACAATAGAATTGATTGTGTGTGTGTTTTCCAAATTAAATCTTTTATAGTCATATAAAATCATGTACTTTAGAGTAACATAATAGAATTGATTGTGTGAGACTTGCAATTCTTCAACGTAACAAATGGAGTTACTCGTGTAATTGCAAATAATCTAAATTGAAATATATAAATTAGATCCTCTATAATCATACAATCATGCCGTTGAAGAGAACAGTGACGCACAAAAGTATGACTTTGTATTCAGTTCACTTATATCTACACTCGTCTTCTTTTATAATCTCTCTCTCTCTCTCTCTCTCTCTCTCTAAATGTGATGAGTATCTAAGTGAAAGCCTATGAAAGTTGGTCTAATTAGTAAGAATACAACTCATACGATGTAAAGATATGGATTGGAATTCCATTTTTAACATGTGGACCTTATTGGTAGGTAATCTGTATGTACCTCAATAAGTGTTTATAGTCTTGAGGCTTATCTTGATCTTGATGAGTTCCTAAAATTCAGTTCATCTAAACTTTGGTTCACAACTTTTTTTTTTTTTTAATGGATAGTTATTGAAGTAGGAAAGCTAACCTATTCAAATATCACATTGAGGCCGGGCGTTTTATATGACTCAATGGAAGACTTAAACATCCCATATTGCCTTAATTTTCATCAGGATGCTTTGTATTTGCAAACAACAAAAATATCCAAATTGTAGCATGCCAACGGGATCCTCTAATGGTTACACTTTTCGGCAGAATTTCAACATGGTTACATGCTTTTTCTTGGTTGACTTGTTATACAAAACGTTTTTTAAATGAATCATCTGCCTAGGAATTTTTCTATATTTGCAATGGAAGTATGCAAGAATCATAACTAATTTGGATTGATTGTAAGAGAAAGTTGACCATTCACGTGGAAGTTGACTGAAATATCACTGTCTTGTCATTGTTTGCTGTCTGTGCAGATTTCAACCATACCAGAGCAAGCTCTAAAAGCATTCATGGACCATGGTATTGTTTCAAGAACCCTAGACGCAGAAGTATCAGAGGCCCAGCGCATATACAACGCAATAGAGAAATTGGGAATTAATTGGAGTGGTGTTGGATCGCAATTAGAAACTGAGGTGCTGGATTCTTTCACAAAATGTTTTGACAATGTTCTTGAATGCCTGCAGAAAAAGGCTAGAGAATTCATCACTGTTTAGCCTGCTCTTCTTTTCTGTATGATCACCATAACCCTAAATTCAAAATGGTGTAGAGTAGCATATTTGGTTTGTGTCGAATAATGGGAGAAAAGTGTTCTATGAAAAGCCAATTCGGGGGAAAAAATCTTTAATGATTTAATGATTTATTGATTTTCTAAAATGACTCGTATGAAAGACAAAAGTTGCTTGTAACTTATAAATAAGGCCAGACCGACTATATTATTAAATTATTTTTTGTGCTTTTTATGATGTCTAAGAGCAAATTGAATTATTAATGACCTTGGAAACTCCTAATTCCCTAAATAGGAGAATTTCTGTGGTGGATCATGGTCAAATAGATAAATATATGTTAACCTATACTAAAGGTAATCATTGCTATAAATATTAGATAGCTAATTTGGAGATATCAAAAAAATTAGTTGAGTTGGTTATTTGTTACAAATATGTGTTGGGGTTTTTAAATTATTCTCTTTAATCATGTGTATTGAATGTTTGAACCTTTTACAATTAATATGGATATTTTGAAAAAAATACAGGAAATAAAATGGATATTTGTTACAATCATATAGGATTGAATATATTTCCTAACTAGTTTATTATATCAAGGACAAAATGTGGTACTTTTCCGATTCTAAATATAAGACTCTCATACTAGTATGTATAAAGGTGTTATATTTGGGATTAGAAAAGAATTAATTATTACTCATTTCAACCAACAGGAATTGAGTTAAATACATAGAATTCGATCTTCTTTAAACAAGGTCAAATATTGGAATAAGTTGGAACTTCTTATGATTTTTCAAATTTATTTCAATAATTAATTTTTTCTTTTTTAATCTTGAATAATTAATTTGTCTTAAAACTTAAAATTAGTAAAAATTTGATTAGGAAAGTGGTCATTAACATCGTTTTGGCCAGCATCCATTTGCAACATATTTTTCCTTTCGCCCAAACATTTGCACAGTACTTGTAAATTATACCCATGGGTAATTTTATTTAGAGCAGTTTAAAATGACTTATAAGTAATTTTTTAATTGTAATTTATAAAATATGATATAAGTATATAAGAGAAATTTTTTCTTAACTTATATAAAATATACTTATAAATAATTTTAAACACTAATTCAAACAGGGGCTTCACACAGCCGCGTGAACAAGATGGTTCCTCCCTTTGAAAATTAAAAAAAAAAGAAAAAAAAAGAAAAAAAAAACGTACAATCCAAAGATCGTCCCTCATGAGGAAAAAAAAGGAAGAGATAGAAAGTGAGGGTAAAAGGGTCTGTGTATGTGTGTGTGGGAGTGTGAATGCCACGCTTTCCACGTAGGCTTCAGAGCCATTCTCTTATCTTCTTGATCATCTCTTTTTTCCCTTCTTCTTCCATCACTGTTCTGTATCTGTGATACAGACCTAACTCCAACCCAAAATGGCCCTGCACGTGCAGGTTCCCGCACCCACCTTTCACACTCCCAAATCCCTTTCTTCTTCTTCTCCTTCATTAGCCTCCCCCACCAATGCTGGCCTTCGGCCGCCGTCCGAGTCTTTTGCTCTCAAATCATCCTTCTTCTGTGGCTCTGTTAATCTCCTGCTTCTTCCCAATCATCGCAATCTTGTTTCTGCAACTCCCAGGATTTCCATGCGCGTCGCTTCCAAGCAGGCTTATATCTGTCGTGATTGCGGGTTTCCTCTCATCTTTTCCCTCATTTTCATTGTCCCATATGCATCATCATTATGATCACTGGAATAGTAGTTTATATGTGGTAATTTCATGCTTCTCCATTTTGTTGATGCAGCTATGTTTACAACGAGCGAACTCCTTTTGAGAAATTGCCTGATAATTACTTCTGCCGCGGTAATTAATTACTTCACTCCCACTGCTGATATACAGATTTTTTCTCTTTCCCTTTTAAGAACTTCCTTCCTAAATTTTGGTCAATTTTCGAGCCAGAGCATGTAATTTTATCATGTTCGTGAACAATCTCTGTTTGTTCTCCATTCTGAAGGGGAAACAGTGAAGCAGCCACATCCACAGATTTCTAGTCTATCATGATGGGAATGGTCGACATGCTTTTGTCTTGCACTTGTTATTGAAAATTATTCAAAAATCACGTTTGGAATTACTTATTAGCACGCTTCCCAAATTCCTCTCACATGCTTTCTTGTATTTGGTAAATCATGATTGAAAAGCTACTATAATTCATTCCAAACGGTTTGGTTTTCAGATCAATACATAGCATCATGTTTACATCTATATTTTTCTAGGAGATAGATGCTGAAAATTGAGGTGAAAATGGTTGGGGTGTTAGGAGTGAAGGTTTGATTGTGAATTGAGTTGTTGAATTGAAATGTGCAGTGTGCGGTGCTCCAAAACGAAGGTTTAAGCCATATGCACCCGCAGTGACGAAGGATGCAAATAAAACAGATGTGAGAAAGGCAAGGAAAGCTGAACTTCAGAGAGATGAAGCTGTCGGGTAAGAATAAAACCCAAGTCTTGTATACATGATTTTCATGCATAGCATTAAAGATGGATGTGTAGTAACAATGTAATGTCTCTGTGCACAGGAAGGCACTCCCTATTGCGGTAGTGGTGGGAATTGTGGCCCTTGCTGGTTTATACTTCTATTTGAACTCCCAGTCTTGAGACCTTTTTGGTTCCATACTTGTAGTTCCTTCGATGTCTGAATCCTGCACTCTGGATTCCCACTTCTTATTATTTCTCCCTCAACTTTCCTTGCCTCCTTTTTGTTCCTTCTCTTCATTTTCCAATGTTGTAAGCACAAGTATTGATGCAAAAACACAATATTGAATATTTTCTCCAAACTATAACAGTGGAATGTGACTTTTTAGTTAAAAGTCTATAAAAAAAATTTAATTATAGACTCATGCTTTAGTGAAATAAGAGTTGTTGTTGTTATTATATAACCCTCCGTGAAACCCTTAATTTTGTTTTAGTTGTGTTATTAGAATCTTTCTTGTGCTAAAATTTTTATTTATTCAATTGAAATTTCAAAATTAACATATGCAATATATCTTTCCCAATGCTCAACGACTTGACCAAAACAAAATATAAGAAAAGCTTTCATTGCTAATTTGACGTAGTAGTTTCATAATCACATAGCATCAAAAGCATTAGATGTTTCTCTCATCAACTTGCCAAGGGAACCACCATCTTCAGAAGCTTCTAACGGAGGACGATCATTTGCTTCAGCCTCCGTAAAGCAATACGGAGGAGCCTGCCACTTCTCATCCTCAAGCACTGCTCCAACCTCAAATGTTATCACATGAGCAATCATTCCTGCACTCTCGCATATAAGAAAATCTCATAATCCCATTCCAAATCAACTCATCTTCTTTCTATATATATATATAATCGTTTTATAAATTCATATTTGTAATATTAAATTAATACATTGGGTGGATAGCAAGCTTAATTTCGATGTCAAATGTCCGAGGAATTGTGGAAGGAACGGCACAGTACCTGTGTAGAAGATCCACTTGACAGGTCTGCGTGTGAGGACGTCCTCGTAGTACCAGATAAAGTCAACTTTCTCCCACAAATTGCAGAGGAAGTTATCGACGTGGTGCTGGCCCAGGTAGGTGGCGCCGTCGAGCCAATTAGGGCGGAGAATCCCGACGGGGAAATGTAAAACCCTACATTTCTGATTGGAAGGGTCGAGAGTGTAGATGTAGGAGGTACCGTTGTCCCATTCGAGGTCGTATAAGAGCTCTCCCAGCTGATTCTGGATGATGTTGAAGTTGCGACCGTTGGGCCAGTCGTACCAGAGGTCCACTTTCTGGAGTTTTCCGGTGCTGTTCATGAACAGAACCGAGTGGAATTGAAGAGGCCAAGCAGCCGGAGTCGGATCCTCTGTCGGGTTCGTCGCTGCCAGGGAAGGGAAGTGTAATGAGGTCGAAAGGAGCAGGAGTAACGCTGAGAAAGAGATGGCTTCTGCTGTAGACGCCATTCTCGCCTTCCGAGAATTTGAAGCCCCCCGGCCGAAAAAAGAACGAAATTTACCGAAGAGACTGGTGAAAATCGGAGAGGATAAGAGATAGGAGGTCGAGCGATTTCGTCTGAGTCCGCTAGTTCGTCACACAGTGAATCGCAGCTTTTGCCCTTTTGGGTGGGGGAGGATGAAAAACAAACACGTCGCTCTTATGCATACGTGTAAAATGGAATCAATTATTAATTGTTTATTAGAAGACGAAAAAAAATTTAATTATTAAAAGCTTAATGACAAGAGATAACTTGTTCATTGTTTACTTTTCACTTCTTAATAAGTTTTGAGGTAATTAAATCACATCTTTAGAAGCTGATTGTAATTTTCCCTTGTTTACTGGTCATTCCTACTTAAAGGAGAAGTAGACAAAAAAATCAAAATATAAAGCCTTAATTTATTTTTGAGTCAAAATGCAAATTTGTTAATTATCAATGATAGTTTTTTGATGGTAAATGACAAAATTACTACAGTTTTAAAATTTTAAGACAAGTTTGTACTAAAAAAAATTTCAAATATCTAGTACTCTTAAATAAAAACTTTCAAAACAAATTTGCACCTTTTTTTTTTCAAATTATTTCTATTGATCAATAGGGTGTTTCCTATACAAATAATAATTAAAACAGATACTTTAAAAAAATTAGTCTACATTTTTTTCACAAATAATTAAACAAATTTTGGATAAAATAATATATTAATTCTAGTCAATACCGTTACTTCTTCTATTCCAAAATCCCTTTTATTTTACATGTATGTGTAGTTTTTGAAAATTGTTATAAATTTAAATTTTTTAACAAGGTGTTAATATTTTTTCTAATTGCACCTCTCATTTATCACTCTATATTAATTAAAAAAACTCTTGGGTTCTTAATGTAAAAACCTAATTAAAGAGTTGATATTAGTTTATATGAAAGAGTTTTCACATATTTATTAATTTTTTTTTCTCAAATTAACCTTATTAATATTTTCTAAAATATATAACTAAGGAAGATGTTTGGAGGTTTTTTAGAAAAAATATATCATATTAACTAAGTTAACTAACATCCTAACTATCTTCATCTCGATTAGTTAATGAGGCCTTACTTTAAGAACTAAAGGAGTATTTAACAAGGCATTAATTATTCATTGATGTACTTGTTTTGATCTATAACCTCATTCTCCCGACATGTGATTCAAAAACCAATTGGATTATAAAGTATAAAAAGAGGAAAGTACGGCAAAAGCTCACCATTACCCCTTTACCTATAATCGTCCCCTCCTCTATAATGAAGGTGAAGGATGGCAATAGATATAACAAAAAGTTATGTACCTCAAAAATTCACTTAGCCACGGCACTATCTTCCAATTATAGTCACACAAAATTTAGAACGCACTGTGACTCTGATGAATTTACATTCCACTTAGCTACAAGGTGTTGTTAATAAAATGCGTTTATAAATATATCGGTCCTTTCTTTGAACTACAATGAAACATCACAGATACAAAAGAAGGAAATACTCTGGAAAACAAAATAAATACATAAATAAATAAAAGTGTAAACATGATGCATAAAGCCAGAAAATGAAAAACTGCTGGCCAGCTAACTTATGCTTAAATCATCAAACATGTTCTGAACCCACGATCATTTAAGTGCTTAAATATCACATCAATACTTTCATCAGGTCCATTCTAGTTTCTATCATTTTCATCTCAGTGCAAATAACATGAACAAGTCGCTTCCCATTCACTAACCAGATTTCTGATCGAGCTTTCCTTCTGCAGCAACTAAATGTGGCGGCAATATTAATTGAAGCTCTATAACTAATATAAGCTTCTCAAAACTTGATCTCTCTTCTCTCTGCAAAGAACTTTCCAGTAATAGCTTGATCAGGGAGAAGGGAAAGCCATACTCCAGTATCGGCACCTTCCTCAACTGTGATGGTCCCTGCATAGCCCGTGAGAGCAGTCTTCACCCAACCTGGACAATAACAGTTTATGTATATTTTCACCATCTGGCCTCTCTGATAGCTCTTTGCCATGAACCTTGTGTAGGCATTCACAGCCAGCTTCGATACTGTGTAGTCTGTGTGTGATGGAGGCCATCCTCCTTCCTTCCATGTCCCATCCTCTGCTTGCTGCAGAAATTTGTTTACCATCTCATCTATCATTTCCTCTGTCAGGTTGTCCACATCGCTTAGTTGTGCCTTCACTTCTTCATTCTCCAGTTTCTGCCACTCACTCAATCCATAAATCAGTTTCACAGCCAAAATAACAACATCTGTAGAGGACTAAGAATGCTTCTGATATTGAGTCACTTTCGTGTATTTACTATTCCAATGAAAGGAAAGGATATGAAGATGTAGATTGTTAATGGAGAGGGAAGAGATGAGTGTTACATATATTAATTATTATTTTATATTATATCATAATGTTTTGGTTATCCAATTAAAATATCCTGAATGTGTGGCTTGTTAACCAATTGAAGTTAAGGTTCATATTCAGTCTATTTCGTTATTTATTATCTTGATGAAAGGTTATTGACAAGATGGCAGACTGAGTGAGAGCGGTACAAATGAAAATCTAATTCACTACTGTTGGGGGTTTTTTGATTGGTGATGACCCTTTCTAGTTGTCATCATTATGCCTACCTCATAATTAAAAAAGTTCTGATATTCTTTTCTACTAACAATGATTTTTAATGTCAATTATTCATAATTTTTGAGAATTACAGCTTTAGATCCTCTAACATGGCAAGTATTTAATTAAATCTTCCATTGTTATCCTCATATTGTAGGATTCCATATGTATGTTATTGATTATTTTCATGTATGGAAGAGAAGTAAAAACCAAAAGGTCATAGATTAATCAACAGGAGAGGGTGGTATAGTAGAACTTTAAAGGGGGAAAAACAATCAATCACTTGTACATAATATTCCTCCGGTATTAAATATAAGACCTATTTTGTAATGTAATTTACACTATAAAATGGGTCTTATATTTAGAACTAGAAGATACATTCATTGCTATACGGTATATATATGTGCGCGCGCGCGCAAGCGAAAATAAAGAGTTAGTTGCTTACATTTCGCTTGCTACTTAGTCGACTGAGACGAGTGCTGACATTGACAATGCGAGCACAGTGAGAAGAAGGCTTCATCAATGGGATCATAGCTTCAATCATTCTCTTGGTGCCGAAATAGTTTGTCTCACAAACGATTCGGGCATTCTCAACAGAGTTATCAGATCCAAAGTTGAAGTTAATACCAGCATTGTTTATCTGATGCACACATAAAAATGATCATAATACCAATCTTGACGGTTTGAACTGTTAGGTAGTAGAAGGACAAAGTTTGAAGTTTGAAACTAAAACTGACCAGAATATCCAGACCGCCATATTTTTCTTTCAACCACTCAGAAAAATTGCTGATGGATGCGGAGTCTAATTGTCAAGCTGGTGACAGTCGACGTCAAGGCCACCTTTTGCCAAACCTTGGTGGATTCAACGCCCACACTTGCGTCTCTGGATGTGAGTATAACGGTCAATCCATGGCCAGCAAGCTGTCTGGAGATCTCAAACCCGATTCCTCTGTTTCCTCCCGTAACCACAGCAACCGTCTCCTTGGACCACCACCTGCGAATCCTCTCTTTTTGTTAAAAACTGAACTATGATTTATAAACTGTAATAACCGCAATAACTGTCGGGTATGTTCAAAAGAGAAGAGAAGAGAAGAGAAGAACCTCTGGTGATCAGAATAAGGGATGGTTCGGAGAAGGGAAATCTCTTGGCGACGCTTGTCCTTCTTGTCTTTGGATTTCTCTTTGTCTTTGTGCCCCATGTCTGTGTTACGGAGTTGAAGGTGGATTCGTTTCCTTCGGGTAAAAACAAAAAATTTCATTTCATTGTGGCTCTGGGGAAGACAAAGAAAGGCCTGGTCAACGCGTGCCACGTGGCTGGTCCATGCTCTTCGGTCAACGTCGTTGAACTATACTTTAGGTCCTCTTCCACTAACTTTGCTCCCGCTTCCTCGGCTCCCTCCTTCCTTCCACAGCCATCAATTCCCCTGCTTTATGTGCATGTAGTTTATTTTTGTCAGACTATATAAATATATTTATACATATATGTGTGTAGTTCAAATGTATAGATTAATATTTTCACAAAAAAAAAAATATAAATAATTAATATGTAGCGTGTTTGTAGTACTATACTACAAAACACATGCAATAATAGTAGTTTACTACTGTTTTGTCTTATTTATAGGATAGAGAGGGGATTTTTTGGTTTTATTTATACGATAATAAAAATTTTTTTCGTATAAATGTACAATTTACTTCTAATTTATTATTGTGTTGACTTTTTTACATAAAGTATAATATATATATTAAACAAAAGAATTTAAAAAATTGATAAATTTTAAATGAGAGTTAACAAAGTTTAAATTTTTTTTAGTCTATGTAAAACATACTGAACGTAAATATAAAATATCATCAAAAGAGTAAACTTTACCAACGGTGATGTAATGTTGGAGACTCTTGAATTGGACAAGTTTTGACAACATTTGAATGTGATCTAAAAAATATATACTCGATATATTTTTATTGACAAAGTCATTCTCTAATTTAGCCATCTGTAATTGAGCCCTAGCATGCAGGATTTAAATGAAGGTACAAAGAAAAGAGAGGCATATACTTTGATGCCATAATTCCACCTAACATTTGGAAAACTAATCATTTACTGTGTGGCATGTTTTGAAAATTAAATCAAGTTGAGAGGGGGAAAAAAAGCTAATTTATCATAACAATGTTAAATTTTGGATTTTGTGTAAATAGTCTTTCTATTTTCTAAACTTGAGAATAATAATCCTTTAAGCTGTTTTATTTATGCAAAAATATCCTGTCATTCATTTATATATTTTTTTAATTTTTTAATTGAACAATGTGGCAAAAATATTTATTCGCACAACTTAAAGTTTTAAAAATACTATATACACAACCCGAGGGGTTAGGTCAGCTGGCTGGGGCTGTCCTAACTTAACCACGGGTCTCGAGTGTTCGAGTCGTGGGAACGCAGCACCCTGAGGGGCCA